CGTTCTGTGGCCTTTCAAATAATGCTATAACTTTGCGATTTGACTATGTCGGAAGTGATTAGTGACGAATTCCATTGTCGGTGTTTTCTTACCGACCGCATGGCATGAAATCTGCCGAACGGGTTAAACGGAAATCCTGTTGCTGAACGGGGTGAAAAAAAAAATAATTGAGACTCTTTGTCGAGGACGGCCCCAGTTGCTGACTGTGCCAGGCCATAATTGGACAATTTGTCGCCTTGTGAGATCTCTTTTTTTCCCAGCCTTGACCAAACAGAGGCGGCTTATTAAAATCCACCCTTCCAGGTCGATCGGAACTCGATACCAAATGTCTTTTTCACCCTCCATGTCTTCGCGGTGTCGCCGGATCAGGGGCGAGATGAGGTCAGAGATATAACAAGGAGCACGTAGAGGTTGTTAAGGGCGAGCTAACAATGGCCAAGCCCAGTCCAGACAAAGGTGGGTGCATAAGTCACAAACCTGCCCCCCGAGGCTAAGAGAGTACACAACCGGTTCTAAATTTATAGTACAACACGTCCTCTCCTTAAACTATGTCTTAAATAACGTCCAAGGGGTAGTTTTCCAATCATCCCATCGAAAAGGTGAAACACAAACTCATCGTCATCCTTTACCCAATCACATACTCCTGTAAATGTCAGTTTGTTTACAAAATCCGTAATGATTCTAAATTGGCGTAAATAGAGAACATCGGTCATCATGGTGCGCTTATATTCAGACGAGATGTGGTTCCTTTTTTTCATCTAGATAATCTCAGATCCACTAGTTCATATATTTCTTCAATTAAAAATCGATTAACCGTCATTTGTGTTTAATCACTAGGTGGTAAAGTGTGTACTGATCGCTGGCAACCGACTGAATGGTTTAGATTGGACGATCAAACAAGTTAAAAAGTGCACGTGACTTGATCTAAACTATGTTATGAAAAAGTCGTTCGCAAATAAGTTCCAACGACGCAGTAACTGCAGTTTCAATTGTGATAAGAACTGGTTGAACATGACGTGGGTCGCTGCATGGTCAGAGAAGGATGACCTTGCGGTACAATAAAAGTCCATGTGTGATCCACTTGGATTATTACAGCCATCTGAGAAAGCCGACGATTCTTAATCTCCGGAGAAGCAATTATGAATTGAAGACTGTAATTATATCTGGTCCGGTAAAATAGATTGTTTTTAAACAAGAAAAACCGGATATATCGCGAACCCATTCTGATCTTCAATGTGTGTAGGTTTTTCAAACCGGAAAACCCTTCAAGCTGAAATAATTCAATAAGGAATGAAAACGGTTCGAAGATCATTGATATGAGTCATTATTGTACGGCTCTGACAGCGGTCATTTGTCGAAATTCAAATGGATTCAATTAGAGGCCAATGGTAAACCTTGCTAGGCGTGTTTCCAGTTTGCGCGCTCCTCGATACACGCTTCCGTAACAGTATAATTTTACACAAAATCAGCATACATTATGGGCTTCTTAGCATCTCCCTCATCACGACTTGTAATAAATTCGAACCCGATTCCTTCGGGGGGAGGCGGGATTGTCGGATTTTCCATGCGGATTTTTACACTTGGAGACTGGCCGTGTCGGAAGATTTTATCCCGCCTCTTCTCAAACTAGTCCTTTCACATTTAATGGCCGTCACAGACTTCTTTAGAATCAATCACAGAAACGCCTCACGACCCATTAATCGCGACAGGGATCAGAACGCGCCCCTCGTTCTTAAGGGAAAAATATCCCTCCCTTTAACTAAGTCACGTTTCATAACAGTACTTTATCGCCTTATTTCGCCTAGATTGGAGTTTATCCCTTAACACAAATCATAAACCAGGGGATATCCCAAGGGTCACCAATATTAAAGCATTTCACAATATGACATTCATAACCACCACTAAAAAAAACAGACTTCACACCACCTTGATTTTTTTTTTTGACTGGCATACTTGGCTGGCATGCAAAATGCAAAACCAGTTTTTAAAATGGAATTTATTTTTACAATTTTTTTCCGCATTTATTCCTTATGACCCAGCCGTATAATTATATGGAAAACTTTACTTTTTCCAACATTACGTAAATAATTACCTGTTGGAGAGGGTTTGTTTTTGATTTTGCTCGATTTGCTTTTATCATGCTTACCTTCACAATTTCAAAAATCAGATCTCATGCCCAAGCGCATAAATATTTTTTTGTGTAGTGGAAAATTAGTTTAAGTAAATTCCCAAACCTGGGAAGCATGAAGGTTTTACTTTTCTAGGGAAAATAAATAATAATTATCAGTAATACTGCTCCAAAATTGGTAAGTTAGAACACATAAACTTTACGCAGGTGATGTTCCTTGTCTTGAACATGGAACCATCATTGAAAGACTGTTTCCTCATTCAGTTTTGTCCTACAGTTTTTGTACCAATAATTGAATGACTGAATAAAGGCTTTATTTACACAAAGTATTTACATTAACTTTACATTTCCAAAGATAAAGCTAATTGACAATGGCCTTAGCCGTCTGTCGAGTTGCTTTATCAATTTTTGAATCTTGAATGAATCCCTATTTTTGTATCTTTAGAATGACCTTTGATTTTAAAAATTGAATTGGTCAACCAGGTATTTTCGGTACCGCAGGGCGTGAGTGAGGTGCACCACAAGCTTCCTCCAGTTATTCCTTCCGTTGAGGATTGCAATGACTTCTTCTACATCCAGCTTCGTTTCCCAAAGTACCTTTGGCGGAACTCTCTCAGAACGGGGCACACTCCCATGAAGTGGAGAGTGTCTCCGGGACGTTGAGGTTACATAAGGAGCAAATGATGGCGCGGTCCTGTCTCCCCGGTTGGCAGTTCAGCTGAAGTAATTCACCCCTCGCCCTGAAGACCAGAGACACCTCATAGCTGTCATATCAGAGCACTCCATGTAGTTTCGCCCTAAGTGAAAGTCTTGCGTACAAGTTGTGACGTAAGCTGTTTCTCGCGCGGGTTAATAACCAATAATTAATCAAGGGGTTCTTGAACGTTGAAGGTTGGTTGGATAGGATTCGGGATGGAAGACAGTATTGCGATGTCATACGTGTAGGAGGTGTAAGAGATGTACAAAAAAGTCATCAGTTTAAATGATAAACATACGGGACCAAGAATGTTCCCTTGTCGGACGGCGACCAGTGTAGGTCTGATTTCTGAGTACCTTGCCGCACCTCACTCTGAAGCAGCGGTTAGTTAAAAAATATTTCACGATAAGGTAATAAATAACTAGTGTAGCGTTTAAGTTCGTAAAGCTAAAAATAATTAAAGTCAGCAGAATAAATGGTCACAAGATATTCTGTAAGCGTTATAATTTTATATTTAAACGTCTGTTTAAAACAAAGCTTTTTTTATATTTAGTTTTTAATCCCGAACCGCAATGAGCCGTTGACCGTACTGGCAATCTGAAGGAGCGAGGTCCGGGCTGTATATTGGGGATACGTGTGTCCTTGCATTGTCATTTCGCAAGAGATCATTTTTGCGGTTGACCAAATCTTTGTGTGTATTTTTCCGACCGGAACGACTTTTTACCGCATCGAGTTGGTCTGAATGTATTTACGAATTGACCATTCAGCTCCTTTGAATTTGAATCAAAATTTTCAAAGTTTTAATTATTGGGCCGACCATTAGTAAACAACTGGAGCAACAAATCGGCCGATTTTGTTGTCCTCGCTCAATTGTAAATTTCCATTGAAAACATTCAATCATGTAAAACTAACGTAATTTTTTCTATTCTTTACTATTTTATTAAAAATAGAAAATTTAAGTACTATTACATTGAATTTAACATAAGTTATTACTTTGGTTTAGAAATTAGTAGAGCAAAAAATCGCATAGTTCATCACTAACTCGACGTGCTTTCCTGTTTTCGCATATTAATTGAAATAAATGTAAATTCTACGATTCCCCAAGACATTATAAATTTCCCAATATTATAAAACAATTTATATAATACTGCCACAAATGTTTTTATATTAATGATTTAATGATAAAATTGTTTAACTTATTGTATTGCGATCATGACAGTGTAGATGGCATTGGTTTTGGGAGCATTCAAAGGCGAATAACCCTTTTATCGGGTTTTGCGAATTTAAACCTAAGCCGTCTTGGTTTATGTCAAAATAGAGCTAAACAGAAGATTAAACTGGAATGCGACGAGCTAGCATGTTCTCTACTTAAACATAATGTATTTTTATTTGGATCCTTTGCAAGCGAGTCAAGGTGAGTTTTATTGAGTGTAGCCGTTTTCGGTCAAAAGCCTCCTAGAAATGTTTTTGGGCTGTGTTAGACAGTCCAGGTCCAATTGTGTGCGGTTTTTATTATTTCGTCCCCTTTTCGCTTGGGTTTATGACTTAAAGACCGGTTCATCCTTTCGCTCGCTTTCCCCCGTTGTAAACTTCCAAACAGGCAGCTTATAAATTAGGCTCATATCTTCGTTTTCATCTTTGGAGGCGGTTTTTATTGTTATGACGACCTTTACCGCGGGGCCTTTAAAACTAATGTCCTGCACGTATTTTGGGATACGTGGCCATTTTTTTTCCATCGGTTTTTCTTTGCTTACGTGCTCTGAATATTTGCTAAATTACAACGAGGGTTGAAATGCCAGGAACGTAAATTTAATTAAATTTGAATTTACATCCAATACATATATTTTGAAACGAAATTTCATTACCAATGGATTAATGATAAGCCGAAAACTGTAAGGTGATATGTCAGTATTTAATTATTATTTATATACATTGTTTTTGGTATTCCAAAAAGAACATTTTGTACAAACATGACAAATACAATTATTTTGTACGGATTTAAGGCATGAAAACCATTGTTGCAAATAAAATATTCAAACATCATTTATTATTTTAAGTTTTAAACTAGGTTTTTTTAAGCCATTAGTGAGATATAATGTTTACAATATCCCATATTAAAAAACTTCTTTTATTAATTAATTTTTGACAATTTCCTTACGATTTTGTTTTTTCCAGGCTCACCCTGCGAACACGACGGCGTATGCGTGAATACTCCAGGCTCTTTCATGTGCAACTGCACGCAGGGCTTCACCGGCCCGAGGTGCGAGACGAACGTGAACGAGTGCGAGTCGCATCCTTGCCAAAACGACGGGTCCTGCCTCGACGATCCTGGAACCTTTAGATGTGTCTGCATGCCAGGTGAGTGTCTTGACTGATTTACTATTTACGACGGCGCTGCGGAAAATCGTTTTTGCCCTGTCAATTTTGAGCCGAGGTACAATATTTCTTTAGTGACGTTATGGTTTTTGAGATGGAAACTTATTTATATTACTTCCGGCCGTTGAGACTCAACGAAGTAACGCTTCAGTGTGTGAAAAAGATCAAGAGGAAAACTGAGAGAGATAAACAAAAAGTGAGCGAATGTGAGTGAAAGGAAGAGACGAAAAAAGAAAGAAGGTGAGAAAGAGAAAAGGAAGTTAATGATAAAGAGAGACTGAGTGAGAGTGAGAGTTGTATGAGAAAACGATGAGCGTGAAAATGAGTGCGGGAATGATAAACGAGCGCGAGATTGCGAGAGACCGAGAAAGAGAGTGAGACAGAGGGAGAGAGCGAAATTGTGTGAGTATATGTCAAAAACACAACAGATGACAGGTTGTAAGAAGAAGAGTTGGAGAGAGAGAGAGAGAGAGAGAGAGAGAGAGAGAGCGAACGAGAGGGGGAGAGAATGAGAGAGAGAAATAAAGAGAGAGAGGATGAGACAAAGAGAGAGAGTGATAGAGAGAAAGAATAGGACAGAGGGTGAGAAAGAGAGAGAGAGAGAGAGAGAGAGAGAGAGAGAGAGAGAGAGAGAGAGAAATTGTGTGAATGTATGTCAGAAACACAACAGATGACCGGTTGCAAGAAGAGAAAGAGCGAACGAGAGGGTGAGTGAATGAGAGAGAAAGAAGGAGAGAGAGAGGGTGAAAAAGAGAGAGAATGATAGAGAGAAAGAACGGAACAGAGGGTGAGAAAGAGAAAGAGAGGGAGAGAGAGAGAGAGAGAGATAGAGAGGGAGAGCGAAATGAGAATGTGAGATTAACTTTTTGTTGGTATGAACAGCAGTATTAGACAAGCACACCTTTTATTACCACCAATTAAATTTTTATCTGTCCACCCTTCTTTCTTTTCTGAGTGGAAATATTGAGTTCTTTCCATCCATATCAAGGCAAGGACTGGATTGACCAGATGTCTTAAGATATGTCAATTTTTTTTTATTATGAAGAAACTTGGATGTGAGTTTCAAGTTTTCATTAATATGGTCATATTGTTTTGTAATATGGTTAATTCGTGTTGTGCGGTTCTAAAACCCTTTTTTTTTCTTCACGAAAGTGGGAAATTTGTGCAGTGTAGTAAGTAGCTAAAATCTAAATTTCATATTTATAACGGGCAGTTTTGAAGAAATATAGTTGATGTTGAAACGTCATAAAAATTGTCTGGACGTTTTTATAAAATTTGAGCAATGCGAAAACGCATATCCGGCCGGACTGTAGACTACTCGAGGGGTGAAAAATAAAGTTTTATTTTATACACCGATCCCCTACCTGGAATGCGTTGTTCATCTGTTCCATATAAGGAGCCGACTGAGGAATTAGATGGGTTAGTATTCCCGACACCGTGTTTTCAGGGCTAATATTTTTATCGGCTGGGCATTCTCGGAGCGCTCTGGAAAAAATTATCTTCTATCTCTCATTTCGGATTTACCCGAGAGCATTAATATTATTCATCTACGAAATTTCTCGAGTGGAGAAGAAAAGGGTCCGGGGTCATTGCCAAGATAACAAGAGCCATCTTCCTCCTCGGAATACTAATATCCTACAACCCGAGCCACCCATAAACAAACCCCACCAAGGCCTGGCATTCCAAACGCCATTTGTACACCATTGCCATAGATCAGCTCTTGCCCACTATTTCGATTAATTAAATACGGTTCATTTATTACAAAATGCTCACGGGGAGGTTCAATGGGAGAACCAAAATGATTTTTCAAAACTTCATTTTTGAGCATGTTTCCATTGGTAACCAGTTCTTACCACAAAGACAATAAATTCATTTCCGTTTAAGCGTAAAAAACATACCAAATTTCCATTTTTACGACTTATACAAACGACACTTCTGTCGTGAATGTTTTGTCCTTAACGGATGCAATGCTTTTGTGGTGTAATTCTGTTTAATAAAGAGCCGGCTTGTTTCATGAATTAATTCAACAGTGTTTTAATTATGATGGCTGTTTGATGTGAGACGTTTGTCTCCACGCCGTTTCTAACGTTTTTAATTACTGCTTGCCCAGCCTTTTCATCGGTCTTAATTGTCTACTAGACATATTTTATTCCCCTAGTTATTTTCAACGGCTATTCTTAAATACGCATTGCGTTACAGTTGGAATTCCCTTTGAATAAGAATGAATGGTAAAAAAGAAACGGTTACGTCGTTTGGGCATAGATGTATAGTCCGATCTATTTGGCATATTTTTGTGCATGAATTTGGCGTGTGTGTGTGTGTGTGTGTGTGTGTGTGTGTGTGTGTGTGTGGGCGCGCGTGCGTGCGTGTGTGAAACTGGGAGAGGGAGAGTGAGTGAATAACACAGGTAGAGGGGAGAGAGAGAGAGAGAGAGAGAGAGAATGAGCAAGTGGGAGAGAGTAAAGGAACAGGCTAGAGATGGAGTGAGTGAGCCTGAGGGAGAGAGAAAAAGGTGAGAGTGTGAGTGTGAAAGTGTGAGATAGAGTAAAGGAGCGAGAGAGAGTGGGGGGAGGGAGAGAGGGAGAATAATTGAATGAGGGAGAGACAATGATGGAGTAAATAGAGATAAGGATGGTGATTAGAGGGAGTGAGCGAATGAGAGAGAGAGAGAGAGAGTGAGAGAGACAGTGAAAGTGAGTGTGAGAGGAAGAGGAAAAAGGGTGAGGTGCAATTATCTGACAGTTAACAATAGAGAGAGAGAATGAGCAAGTAGGAGAGAGTAAAGGAACAGGCTAGAGATGGAGTGAGAGAGCCTAAGAGAGAAAAGACTGAGCGTGGGTGGGAGTAAAAGATTGAGAAGGACTGAATGAGTGATTGTGTAAGAATAAGGGAGTGAGAGTAAAGGAGCCAGATAGATAGATAAATAGATAGATAGAGAGAGAGCGTGAGAGAGAGAGAGAGAGCGAGAGAGAGAGAGCGAGAGAGAGAGAGAGAGAGTGAAAGTGGGTGTGAGAGGAAGAGGAAAAAGGGTGAGATGCAATTATCTGACAGTTAACAATTGCCATATTAATTTTTTTCTCCTTACAATGGAACAATCTATCGTTTTGGCAATAATTTTTTAGAAGTTTCGGAGACCATATCCTTTTGTTATTATTTTCATATTGCTTTCAGTGATGGCTATTGGAATTGTCTTAAGATAGGTCTGAGGGATTTGGAACACAATTTTAAAATGAAAGTTGTCTATTTGTTAATAATGTTATTCCCTTAATGCCAATCTTACAGGTCATTTTGTAAAGAGTAAAGTTTTGTTTACTTCTTACATTTAGTCATTTTTTAATTTTTAACAGTTGTTTTAAAAATAATTTTGCATCGTCCACAACGATGGTTTGAAGATTGTCAGGTCAATATGTAGGTTGGTACGTCTCAGCCCATATACAATATACAATTTTTACCGGCTAACCGACAAAATGTGAAGCATTGGTTTGCTTGCTCGCAAACCCTTTTTTTTACCTTTCTGTTTAAAGTTTTTCGCTGACCTATAAAGTCCTTTACAGAAGTTGTAAACTTAGCAAATCTTATCTGGCACACCACAGTATAATCGACTTATACATATCGAAGGATATTTTTTGACCTTCCTGCTCGACTGGCATTCCTTCCTTTACGATAACAAAATGGTATTAAACAGCCAAAGCCTAAATAAATGATATAACGTAAAGGAAGTGGATAAATAAACAGTATATTAAACTGATTTGCCTATCTCTGTCGATCTTTTATTGGTTGATCTGTGTGTTTTACACATCCACTCATTTCAGGCCTACATTTATAAGATCTGCTAATCAGGCATGTAGAAATCAACAATTTTCCTTCGTTTGTTTACACCTAACGTGTTTTTGACGTTCGTCAGACATGTTTAGATCGCTAATTGGCCAGTAAGCGTAAAAAGCTTTGCAGGGCATGCTCGGCCGGCCGCGAAAACGGCAGTGTTTAGCCCTGGCCGTTCACCGTGTCCTCATCCTGGTTTTTATCATAATCCAATTTAGCCGCTCAACGTACTCGGACGACGAACTTAAGCCTTGGCATTCCGTCAGCCTTTTCTCAACGCCTCTTTGTGCATTCAGAAGTCATCTGCATTCCGCCGGCTTTGACGATTAACTCCTTACCAAGACCCTTAACAATACAACCATTGACCGGCGGAATACGTTTATCTCGAATCTCTATCTCGGTAATGTGCTCACATTATTATTTGTGGCGTTCAAAGTCTAAAAGTAAATAGTGATAAACACTATTGCTCTTTTTAAACCTCTTTGTCTGCAATTTTCGTACAAGGCACAGTTTACCATTCTACTTACATCTTAATTATGAAAAAAGAAGCTTTTATTAGTTGAATTACAAAATATAATGGAAATGTCAGAATCAAGTGCAACGCTTTGTACTTTGGTCATTTCAAACCTAGGCTACCTGTTTTCTTTTAAAGAAGAAATCTCGCAAATACATAGTTCATTGCGGGTTTAGAAGTTGAAGGTTTGGTCATTTCTGATCATCTTCGTCTACTAATTCGCGATGTTTTCAAAGGAGAAATCACCCAAACACTTAATTTATAAATCACTAAAAGTTTGCGGGTTTTCTTCTGGACGTATGCAGGATGATGAAGTTTTAGTTTTGGTCTTTTTCGTCATCCTGGTCTGGTTTATTGGTTAATGGTAGGTTGGTCATCAGCAATTTAAGATTTGGGAAATTTCTTGTCGAGGTCTGCAGGGTGATGGCTTTGTAGCTTCGTCATCCTGGTCTGCTTACTATCGTTGTTTTTAAAGGGGAAATCTCACAAAGATTTAGTTCATCAACAACTTAAGATTTGTGAGGTTTCTTTGCGAGGCTTGCAGGGTGATGAATTTGTAATTTTCGTCACCCTGCTCTGCCTACTATCATTGTTCTAGAGGAAAATTTCTCAAAGATTTAGTTCATCAACAACTTACGATTTGTGAGATATCTGTGGAGGTCTTTGTGGTGATGAACTCGTAATTTTCGTCTTGTTTGCCTACTATTACCATTGTGTTTACAACAGGAGAAATCTCACAAATATTTAGTTCATCAACAACTTAAGATTTGTGAAATTTCTTTTGGAGGTCGGCATAGTGTAAGGTAATTGGTAGTTTTCTCGTCCTGATCAGCACATTATCATAGTTTGTACGCGGAAATGTCACAAAGACTTAAACTACGTCAAAAATTTATCTACATCGTTTTCGTCGAAATTCTGCCATTTCTCGTTGTTTTCAATGGAAAAATCTCGCCAAGTCTCGTTTATGAACAACTTAAGATTTGTGAGATTTCTTGTGAAGTCTGCAAGGTGATTGGTGAACTGTAGTTTTGGTCGTTTCCGATTACCCAGGTCTGCCAATTCTTGCTGTTTCAAAGGAGAAATTTCACCAAGACTTCGTTTATGAAAAATTTAAGATTTGTGAGATTTCCTATAAAAAACCAACCATCAGCCTTTTTAGGGTCTGTCTGTTATCGTTGTTTAATTGTAAGAGCTACAATAACAGCTTAAATATTACAGACACGATTGACAAAATGCCAAAATGCAATAGACCTGTGTGATCCTAGAGTATATTGACCTAACCTTAAAAATTAGTTAAGCTTAATTTTACGGGTCATATGTGAGATATAGTGCCCAAAAATGGAAACTACTACTGAAATGAGCGAAATGCCAAACCGTGCCAGAGCAAAACAGCGAGGATAGGTAGACCAGGTTCGGAAACTAAGATTGCAATTGAATGTCACAAAAAATGATCTATTTGAAAATTGAACGCATTCGATTATATATTATATATTGTTAATTAAAAAAACCTTTATGGTATTTTGTTTAATCTTACCGACAAGATATGATTTTCTAAAATAGACGTTTTCGTTTGAAGTATAGCGCAATTGAGGTTTTGAAGGCATCCTGATCCTTTTTTCTGCCTTCCCCTCTTCCTGCCTTTGTGGGTTCTCCAGTCTCCATTCTCTTGGTTCACTAATCTTTAATATAGGAAGAACATATTTATAGTTGTACAAGAAGATTTCTTCTGCTTTACCCTTTATAAAGTGCACGCCTCTTGATCGTTTTGCACATTGTGAAGTTTATTTTCTTTAAGTGTCTTGACAACAGTGAATAATAAAAATCTTTTTCCATGTTGGCAGAAACTAATTCCATAGCCGGTAAATGCTTTTGACTAAGTACATCGTAGTTATTTTTCTTTACTGCATTCAAATGATTTATGGGTAGGGGACCTATGCTCATATTTTAAAATGAGCATATTAATTTATTGGTGTTATTCTTTACTAGTATGTAAAAGAACCTGGCATTTTGACGGTTGGCAGTTTAGCTAATAATTTCCAACAAAAAACCACACACAACTCTTAAGAAGTAAGAGATTTGTAGTAGATAAAACATAAATCATTCTGTTATTTTTTATTTTTTTATTACTTAAATTAAAAAATGGTTTGAGTTAAATCCTCTGCGATTGGGATTTTTTCTGTGGGATTGATAATGACTGGAAAGGGTGCTACGTTCTCTGAAGAGGAAGGTGAAAATGGGAAAATTGAACCTCCCCGAGCATTCGGAGGAATTCACTGAATCTCATCCGGAGCGAGCAAGTACGCACCACCATTAGGAGCACTTAGCCTGGGCATCGTCTGAGGAATGCCTCCAGGACGGCCCACCTTCAATTACCTGTGATAGCCATATTGCCAAAGGATTCTCCCTCGTCTCTCCGACTATCTCCGTCTCATTTACATGATTCATCTTTTTCTCTCTCCCTGTCTCCTTCTTTCCCTCCTCTCTCGCCCTCTCCCTTTATACGCCGCGGGCATGTTTCGTGAGTCGAGAGCGTGGATTTATGCCCTCCGCATTGATTAGCATATTGAGCGTCACAATGGCTCTTTGTCCGGGCCACATAACAACGAGCAACACTACCGAATACTCCTAGGATCTCGTTTAAAATCTGAAAGTACAAAATCGAAACCCGAATTTAATCAATTCGGAAACAATCGCCCTCATTCAACATTTGCCGTCTTATTGAGCAAATACGAGTTATCCGGCCCATATCTGATATTAATTTCTGCCATGCATATAATGTGAAATCTACTCAAAATGCCTAAATTTTGTAAAATCTGTTATTTCAGAATGTCGTCATGTGAAATGACGCGCACGTATTTTGCTAAGCTCATTAATTTTAGCTTCAAGTGCAAAGGGATTGGTAGGAGAACAATACAGAGGTAGATAGAAAGGTCGATAAATACCTAGATAGATGTAGAAACATGTAAATATAAAGAGATAGATAGATATACATAGAAGAGGTATATAGATGAACAGAGATACAAAGATTTTTTAAAATTTACTCCATAACTAGTATACATATTTAAAAATTCCCTTAACGTATTAACAAATATGGAATAAAGAGAAAGAGAGAGAGAGAGAGAGAGAGAGAGAGAGAGAGAGAGAGAGAGAGAGAGATTGAGACTAAGTGAGACCAAGGAGCGAGATAGTGAGTAGGTGAGCCTGAGAGAGAGAGAGAGAGAGAGAATGAGTGGACGTGTAAGTAAGAATGAGGGAGAGAGAGAGAGAGAGTGAGAGAAAGAGAAAGAGAGAGAGAGAGAGAGAATGAGTGGACGTGTAAGTAAGAATGAGGGAGAGAGTGAGAGAAAGAGAAAGAGAGAGAGAGAGTAAAGAAGTCAGATAGAGAGGGATTGAATGAGTGAGTGAGTGAGAAAAAGAGAAACACAGAGAAAGAGAGGTAGCTAGTGAGAGAGGGAATGAGCGAGTGGGAGAGAGCAAAGGAACAGGCTAGAGATGGTGTGAGTGAGTGAGCCTGAGAGAGAGAGAGAGAGAGAGAGAAAAAAAAACTGAGCGAGTGTGACAGTAAAGGAGCGAGATAGAGAGGGATTGAATGAGTGAGTGAGTGAGAAAAAGAGAAACAGAGAAAGAGAGGGAGCGAGTGAGAGAGAGAGAATGAGTGAGTGGGAGAGAGTAAAGGAACAGGCTAGAGATGGTGTGAGTGAGTGAGCCTGAGAGAGAGAGAGAGAGAGAGAGAGTGAGAGAGAAAACTGAGCGAGTGTGACAGTAAAGGAGCGAGATAGAGAGGGATTGAATGAGTGAGTGAGTGAGTGAGAAAAAGAGAAACACAGAGAAAGAGAGGGAGCGAGTGAGAGAGAGAGAGAGAGAGAGAGAGAATGAGCGAGTGGGAGAGAGTAAAGGAACAGGCTAGAGATGGTGTGAGTGAGTGAGCCTGAGAGAGAGAGAGGGAGAGAAAACTGAGCGTGTGTGAGAGCAAAGGAGCGAAATAGAGAGGGATTGAATGTGTGAGTGAGTGAAAGAGAGAAAGAAATCGAAAGAGAAATAGTGAGTGAGAGAGAGTGATTGAGTGAGGACAGATTTGATAGAAATGACATATTATGTATGCTCTTGAAAACTACTGTTTCCAATTTTTTCTTTCGAGGGCATTTCAACTACGAAGTTATACTCACCCCCATGGTGCCGGTGTTTTTGAAAAAAGCTCATTTGTAAATATGTAGGGGTCGCTGGATTCGAAGCTGAGGCATTTTACCTTGTGACGAGCGCCGTGTCAACAGTTAAACCGTTGCTCATTTTCATTATCTTAAGCGGTTGGGTTATAAATAAAACTATATATTTAAGAAAAGTGAGTAAAGAGATCATCTAAAGAACAACTTATGTAAATTGTATAAAAAGCTGTACTTTTTAAAATCTTTCATTTTATGTCTAGTTTTAGTACATTGATATGTATTGGATCCTAAGCTGTTGTGGCTGTTTAAAACAGAATTACTATATGTGTTCTCATTCATTACAGTTCTTTATATGTATGTTCTTTTGATTATAATAATTATCTAAGACTTTATTATTATCGAAACATGGGAATCAGCCGTAATTTGGTGTTCTGAATCTCCCACATTCCGGAACTTCTCGATTTTTTCTTTCTTGATCCCTTACTCTTATCACTGGTCTATTATGATAATAGTTCGTTAGATTCATGCAAGAAGGATTCCAGGAATTGCCGGCGGAAGAGCACTATGTCAATTTCGTATCGGACCATTTTCGAAGAACACAAGACTTTCAAAAGTCGGAGGAACGAAGCGCCCATTAAAGGCGTAACGAGCCCTTTCCGTCTATTTTCATAATGGCCCACTCTCCGTCCGTTTTTTCTCTTTACCCTCGACGTCGTTCGGTCTTAAGCATAGTTTGCCTAGATTTGAATTTTTTTCCACCGGGCACGACTCGTAAAGCACGGATAAAAAATCTACACCGGGAGGGAGATGCTGCATCATAGGCTCCCATGGCAATTAAAATAATGGACAAGTCTTGTACACTGTGGCTATCGCCTTGGAAAGAGATAATACAGCAGCGAGGGCCGGGGGAGCTTTTTATTGTGTCATATCACATGACTGGAATAAGATACATCGGCAGTTTATCTCCCTCGGAGATATTTTAGCATTTCCTTCTATAAAATTACCGCAACCGCAAACTCTTCTTGGTGGTTTTAAAGTCCAGCTTCGGAATTTTATAAGGTCGTATAAAGCTTTTTGCCTCGATCAGGAACACCAAGTCATCGTGCCGGACTTTTTTTTTTAAATAGAAAGTTAGCTTGATAAAGTTGGCTTAATTTGAGCGTCGTAAAGTAAATGGTATGGCACATAGTTGTGTTTTCAGTGCATTCTTCTGTTTGCGGTTTGTAAATTATTTTTCTACTAGTAATTTTGTTTTAATGAGGTTAAAAAACCCAAGAAGAGGTTCGTCACCCTTTGAAGAAGTCATGTTCAAGAGGTTATATTTTCACCATAACTCATGCACTGTCCTCATGTCCTTTTGATCACCCTATCCCTGGTTTTAACACCGTTCTGCATCTCTCCTTAAGGCAATTTTTGTCGTATTTAACCAGAATTTTTTTTTTAGGTTTCACGGGTACGCAATGCGAAGTGGATATCGACGAGTGCTTGATCAACCCTTGCTTGAACGGAGGCACTTGCAACGACCTCATCAACGGCTTCCGATGCGCCTGCCCCATCGGCTTCACCGGTACGCGATGCCAGACCAACATCGACGACTGCGTGAGCAACCCGTGCAGAAACGGCGGCAACTGCAGAGACTCGATCGCCGGCTACAGCTGCGAATGCCCTCCGGGCTTCACAGGTACTTAGGCGTTTTTTAGTTTATGTATATAATATATTTTTTTTATCGAAGCCCTTGTAAATCTGGGTTGGGCGAGGGCTTTGTGCGTTTTATAATCTGTATCACCTGCTTCCTATTCAATCTGAACAATGGATTTGAAGAATGAAAAGGGCGAGTCAGTGTCCACTACATCCTCTCGGCGTGTTGCTGTTAATATCAACTTTCTACCTTCATTCCCTATTTTTTTGCGTTTTTTTAATTTTTTTATAGCTAATCTGGAAACTTTATTTCTTGCTAGCGCCTCTGAATAAATAAATTATATTTGGTATGCTCCAAATTATTATAATTTCAGTAATACAAAGTTCACTCAAAGACAAAAAAAAAACCATAATAAAGATTAATAGTTGACTTAAAACTTAGACACAACATTAATAACTTGTTGTTTACCTTTAAAATGTTACTAATCCTTTTACACTCTTTACATTAAAAATTAAAAAAATCAGTTCAGTTTCATTCTTTCCAGAGACAACTTGTTGAGTGAGTTAATTGGTTTTCTTGGATGAAACAATAAATTGGAGTAAAAAATTAATTATTGATTTGTTCCTTAAAAGCATGGTTTAAAGTTGAGTAGATCTTGCCCAGGTAGATGCTTTGGCCAAAAACAGACGTAGAATCTGTGACATAGCTGTCCTGGGTGTGCACCCACGATTGTCTATAATGATTTAGGGGCACCTAAATGGCAAGGCACTACCTCGCAGACTGTGATAGGTATGCTAGGTCTAAATTTGAAATCTTTGAAGGATCACCAAATCACTCCCCAAGATTAAATGGTCCAAAATCTTGGGGTTTGTGAACAGGTCCAAAAGATTTATGCAGGACACGTGAGCCGACCAAGTCCCAGACCTATTAGGGAGGGGGTACGAGTCTACCCAGGCATTTAACCCCTCGGGTCTTGGTTGCCCACCCTGCATAATATATAATATACAAGGGCACCGGAAGTCTTGATGAAAGAGATGGTAGTGGTCAATCATGACATACAGCTAGAGAAGATTGTTTTAGTGCTCTTATGTTGTCATTCAACGGCTTCCTTAATATGTAGTCATCTTCAAACAGACCGTAATGTAAGGATGAGCTGTAAAACAGCCAACAGAAGGCTTCATAAGAGTAGCCTAGTCTCTAGGCATCCCATATCAGATTCTGTAATACTGGAGAAGCATCGAGTAGAAAAGCAATTATTCGCAAATCAGCATCTCGCTTGGGCAGTTGAATAATGGGGGGGGGAGTTATCTTCACAGATGACCTTGTGGAGAAGACGTGGAGAACGCTTTGCTTCATGTGCCATGTGTGTCACAGCCTTTTCAAAGACAGTTGCAGTATGAGGTAAAATGTTCATGCTCATACACTGATTATCATACACAATGGATCTTTGACTGCACTAAGTACACGGAGGAAAATATTCTGGAAGCTGTTGTCTAATTTGCTCCCTTTATTGGGTGGGGGAAATTCGTGTTAAAGCAAAATAATACTCAACTGCATGTAGCTCGAGTTGTCACTCATTACTTGGAAGATGTAAGGATTACTACAATGAATTGGTGTTCTCATGACATGAGCCCTGTAGAACACTTATGGGACATGATAAAGAGACAGGTTAGACGGAAATGGGATTCCGTTTCACAAGACAAAATCAGATTGCTTATTGTTGATGCTTAGGAGACGTAAGGCCCTCTGTGAGGGTATACGCAATATTAAGAAAAATACTATGTAATAAATTGTTAGTTAGATTTTAATCTGACACTAAATGATTTTTTGGTGTTTTGGTGAATTTCTTTCAAACCATCATAATAAAATAATTTTGATTAAATTAATGTTTTTTTGATGTTTCAATGAGATTTAAGGAGAACTTTACTGTATATAGGATTAGTTGGATGGGCATGACAAATATATGACAACACACATGGTGAAAAGTCAGAATGTCTTTGAGTGACCTAAATGGTGAATATACACGGTCCAAAATGACCAGAAACAACCAACCTACTGATGATTATTAGCATTACCTTCATTTATTGAGCTTAGTGAAATTTGTCAAATTATGTATTCCCTCATTTCCTTATTTAAATTTTCTACAAATTTGTAATTTTTAAATATTGTGGGGCATAATTTTTTTGTTTTTATACTTCAAACCAAGGGAATTATATTTTGCATGTACCATCTTATTATAATTTCAAAGGTACATAATATATTTCACAATTTGTAGGATTACTTAGAGAAAATATATGTCAACACAGATAGTGAGAAGTTGGAACATCTCTGAGACCAAAACGCAAGGATAGACAGACCAAAATGACAAGAAACGACAAAATTACTAATTACTATTTTCAAATTATACATTTTCTCATTTGCTTATTCAAATTTCCTGCTTTTAAATGACCCCATATGCGTTTCTTTTTACATTGTGGTGTAAGGTAGAGATTTTTTACTTTAAGAGTAATGAAATTATGATCAGACAGACTAGTTTTTACTACTTAGTAATACTATCATCAAATCAATAAAATCATGGCCTTGAACAATTTAAAAATGCTGATGCTGTTGTAACATACTGCCTACCGACTGTTATACATTCACTTTTATCAGGTCGTCTGGTAAATTCCTGAAAATCTAAAATATGAGTTTAAATAGAAATTGGTGATTTTTATTTTGAGGAATAAAAAATCTTATCATTAATGTGGACACAGTATACACTGGTTTTGTAGCGGTCGGTCCGAACCGACAATCAACCTCAACAAATGTTGTTGTGATAGCATTGTTGTATTAGCTATACAAATTATTTCCTATAGGTCCTTGCCTGGAAGATTCGGTAATTAGGAGAAATGTGTAGATAATAGAAGCCAATTGAACTTACATTAATTCAATTGACTAATTGACTAACTATAACTACAACTGTTGATATAGTTTATATATTTATTTGTCTTCCTTTAGGTCTCAATTGTGAAACAAACATAAACGATTGCCAGTCCTCTCCATGTATCCGAGGAGAATGTATTGACGGTGAAAATTCGTTCACCTGCGCCTGCCAGCCTGGATTCACTGGTTTCCTGTGCCAGACGCAGCTGGATGAGTGCCGGTCATCACCTTGCCAGTACGGAGGGCTGTGTGAGGATCTTGTCAACGGTTATCAGTGTAGATGTAAACCTGGGACTTCAGGGCTGAACTGTGAGATAAATGTCAATGAGTGCTACAGCAACCCATGTAGAAATGGAGCTAAGTGTGTTGACGGTATTAATCGCTACTCATGTGAATGCCTTCCTGGATACACAGGGTTACACTGTGAAACCAATATCAATGAATGCGCTTCTAACCCTTGTGCCAACAACGGCATCTGCATCGATCTGGTCAATGGGTTCAAATGCGAATGCCCTAGGGGCTACTATGACGCGAGATGCTTAAGCGATATTAACGAGTGCTCGAGCAACCCTTGTCTCAATGGTGGCACCTGTGAGGACGGACTTAATAAATTCATCTGCCACTGTCGTCCAGGCTATGGAGGAAAAAGATGTGAGATTGATATCGATGAATGCAGCTCTAATCCTTGCCAGCATGGAGGGATCTGCCAAGATCATCTGAACCGTTATACTTGCCAGTGCCCTCCTGGCTACACTGGATTCAATTGTGAAACAAATATAGATGATTGTGCTGGAAATCCATGCAGGTATGGTGGATCATGCATCGATTTAGTCAATGGATATAAGTGTGTATGCCAACTACCATACACAGGAAAAGATTGTCATGAAAAATTAGATCCTTGCTCACCAAACAAGTATGTATTACTTCTACATATACATTTTATTTTTTATGAGTTAAAAATAAAATATGTAATTCTGTTCTAGATGTCAGCATGGTGCAAAATGTACACCGTCACCAAATTACAAGGACTCTTCATGTCAGTGTTCCCCTGGATACACTGGTCGATATTGCCATGAAGATGTTGATGAATGCCAGTTATCTTCACCCTGTAGAAACGGTGCCACATGCAAAAACACAAATGGAACTTATGAATGTATTTGTGCCAAAGGATATGAAGGAATTGATTGCCTTACCAACACAGATGATTGTGCCTCTTGTAAGTTTATTTGAATTATTTTTCAAAATTTTCCTTGACTCGTTTTTATTCTGACTTTTTGTGCATTTTTTTCAGTTCCTTGTCAAAATGGAGGAACATGTCTTGATGGAATAGGGGACTATGATTGTATGTGTGTGGATGGTTTTGGTGGGAAACATTGTGAAATTGACATAGATGAGTGTCTGTCTCAACCGTGTCAAAACGGAGCAACGTGCACACAATACGTTGATTCTTACACTTGTACCTGTCCTCTTGGGTTCTCCGGGATCAACTGCCAAACTAATGATCAAGACTGCACTGACTCTTCCTGTATGAATGGTGGCACTTGCGTTGACGGCATTAACAACTACACTTGCATATGTGCGCCGAGTTACACCGGATCCAACTGTCAAACAAGAATTAACAAATGCGATTCCAATCCATGTGCAAACGGTGCTACCTGCAATGACCACGTGCACTACTATACCTGTCACTGTCCCTATGGATTCGAAGGAAAACATTGCGATTCTTATGTTGACTGGTGTGCCACACAACCTTGTGAAAATGGAGCGCAGTGCCGCCAGAAGGATAACACCTACCACTGTGTCTGTGCTCCAGGATGGACTGGAAAAGTCTGTGATGTTCAAATGGTTTCTTGTAAAGATGCTGCTATCAGAAAAGGTAAAAAAAAGAAAACTGCTACTCTGATAAAAACCTATTCTTTTTTCTTAATTTAAACATTAATAATTTTTTTAATTCAAAATTTCAGGAGTTTCACGTGAAGCCTTATGTAATAATGGGACTTGTGAGGATATTGGTAATAGTCATCGCTGTCATTGCCTTGAAGGGTATACTGGAAGTTACTGCTCGAAAGAAATTAACGAATGTGATTCTGCACCATGTCAGAATGGCGCATCCTGTCAGGATTTGGTAGGAGCATATCTTTGTCATTGCGCTCCTGGTTTCCAAGGTCAAAACTGTGAACTCAATGTGGACGACTGTTCACCGAATCCATGCCAAAATGGTGGCATCTGCCATGACCAAGTTAGTAACTTCAGCTGTTCTTGCCCTCACGGAACTTTGGGTTATATTTGTGAAATCAATGTCGACGATTGTGTCATGGGTGCCTGCCATAACAACGGTACCTGTATTGATAAAGTTGGCGGTTTTGAATGCGCCTGCCCTCCCGGTTTTGTCGGTCCAAGATGTGAAGGTGACATCAACGAATGTCTGAGCAATCCTTGTGCTGGCCCTGGGACTCAAGATTGTGTTCAACTCATTAATGACTATCACTGCAACTGCAAGACTGGCTATATGGGAAGACACTGCCACTTAAAGGTGAATTTCTGTGAAAGCGGACCTTGCCAAAATGGTGGAGTCTGCACAGCGCTCGAAGGAGGACATTCATGCATGTGCCCTGAAGGGTTTTCTGGGAGGAGCTGTGAATACTACGGCTTTGACTGCGCTTCCAACCCTTGTCAAAACAACGGCATATGCAACTCGAACGACAATGGAGGCTACACTTGTGAATGCTTACCGGGTAAAATTTAAAAACCTGACTTTTAATATAATTATAATTATATTATAAAATTAACTTAACACACACTTATAGGCTCTGGTGGAACGTATTGCGAGTTAGATACGGTGAATGAATGTGTTTCACAGCCTTGTCAGCATGATGGGACTTGTCAGGAGGGTGTTGGAGACTACTCATGCTACTGTCCTCCAATGTGGAAAGGAAAAAACTGTCACATTTTTGACAAGACTTTCCAAGGCGGCCTGGGAAGAGATTTCAGTTTAAAGGTATGAATTAATCTTTTATACAAAGAATTAATTTAAATAATGTTTAACATTTAATACAAATGTTTTTAGAACACACAGCACATAGCACCAACTGACAGCGAAATAGCTAGAAAGAGTTGTCAAATCAACAATTGTCTTGCTAAAGCTGGTAATCTCCACTGTGATCAGGAGTGTAATACACTAGCATGCGGGTTCGATGGAAATGATTGCTCCTTAGGTATTACCATTTTACTTCTTCATGTTTTTGCATCTAGCTACCTATCTAATAGTCATGACCATTAAATATCAAATGGTTGGTTATGTATGGATTTTTTTTCTGTAGGAGTAAATCCTTGGAGAAACTGTACGGCGTCAATACCGTGCTGGAAGGTCTTCATGGACGGACAGTGTGATGCAGAATGCAACAACGTTCAATGCCTTTTCGATGGAAGGGACTGTGAAAAGAGTCTCCAACCCTGCAAGTAAGAATATTTTGATTTTATTAAAAAAAAAAAAAGTAATAGTTAAGTAAAAAAGTAAGTTGTTATATAAAATAATCCTTTTTTTTTATTTTCAGCCCCATTTATGACGCATACTGTAAGAGCAATTATGCAAATGGTTTCTGCGATTATGGCTGCAACAATGCAGAATGCAACTGGGATGGCCTGGACTGTGAGAAAGCCGACGATCCACCAAAACTTGCTCTTGGCGCCATTTCAGTTATAGTCTTGATGGATATGCAGACCTTCCGGGCGAACCTTGTCTCCTTCCTGAGAGATGTAAGTGCCAAAATTTCTATAAGCATGCTGCATGTTGTAATTTAATTGCCTTTTACAGCAGAAGAACATTTCTTGCATTAATAAAGAAAATATTGAATTCGGAGATATTTTTATTGAAGTTCGTGAGAAAAAGGAATGAACTTTCAATTTATTGTAAAAAAAATATTAAATAAATTCCTTTTATATAATTTTACCCATTGTCTTATTAATTTTTTTTAGTATATCCAGTTTTTAGTTTTAAAAAGGGTAGAAAATTTATGTTTGTGTATTATAATATAAAAAAAGCATGAGATTACGATTATATGATGATTTTTATATGTATAAGTTAGTTAATTTATAGTAAATTCTGGCATACCACTATTGTCAAGGAGATGTGAAATACTACTATTAGACATAAGTATCTGATAAAAACTTAAAAATTATTAAAGACATTAAATTATATTATCAGTTATAAATATTGGCCTATTTAACAAATTAAACAAATTGAAAAATGGCAAAAAGGAGGGAAAACTCATAAGGTGGGGTTGAGATAGGAAGTTGATGTCCGAGTGGATCGAGTCACGATAGCTCAAGTGGTAGAGCAGCGGCATATCTAGCCGAAGATCGTGGGTTCGAATCCCGCTCGTGCCATTAGCTTTTTTCATCTCAACTAAAAACCTTAATTAAGTGTAATGTATTGATTGGTCAATCGGACCATGAAATTAGTGAATTTAATGAATTAAATGAAGTACACTTCACTAAAGCTCTCCGTAGCCATTTCATTTGTCGTCGAGAATCCAATCCGATTACATGACATTTGAAAAATGGCAAAAAGGAGGGAAAACTAAGGTGGGGTTGAGATAGGAAGTTGATGTCCGAGTGGATCGAGGTCACGATAGCTCAAGTGGTAGAGCAGCGGCTTATCTAGCCGAAGATCGTGGGTTCGAATCCCGCTCGTGCCATTAACTTTTTTTCATCTCAACTAAAAACCTTAATTAATTGTAATCTATTTAACAAAGTTAAAACATGGAACTACGAACAGTCATCTAAAGAAATGATAAATGGTGGAGTGAGTGTGTTGTTCAATCTTTCTAAAAAGATAGTTCCTACTCACAGTTAGTTGTTTTCAACGATCTGGATTTCAACCTGATAGTTAGCAATAAGTTTGAAATCCCAATCAATGGAAAACAACTAACTGTGAGTAGGAACTATCTTTTTAAAAATATTATAGATATCTACACTACAACAAAGAAAATTCAAGAAATTTTTATTTATTATATTTACCAAAATAATGAAACTTAATTACAAAAACCATTTGTAGTTTTCATCCCTAACTCTAGAATAACTTTCTTTTAAGATTGGCCACCAGTTAAGGGCAACAGTGAGGGTTAAACAAGAGCACGATGGTAGAGATATGATATACCCATGGAAGGTGCAAGGCGATAATTCGCAAGGTGTGATCGCATTTTTGGAAATAGACAATAGACGTTGCAACATAAGTGCTGGGGCTGAATGTTTTACCACTGCGTCTGAAGCAGCCGGCTTCCTTGCTGCGACTGCTCAGAATCATGCTCTGTCTACTTCGTTTCCAATTTACAAGGTGCAAGGAGTGTCGAGTATCGAGCCACCGATGATTGAGGCTCCAACGTCTGCCAAATTTGTATTTATAGGAATCATATTGGTTACGCTTGTTGGTCTACTTCTCGGAGTGCTTGTCACTGCGCAGCGTAAGAGAGCTCATGGAATAACATGGTTCCCTGAGGGATTTTTACGCACAAACAGGTATGAAATTGTTTTTTATATTACATTTGTAGTCACTGTGAATTTGATATTAATTTTTAAAATTTTTTGTTTTAGTGGACCAAGAAGGAGGTCGAGAAGGCGTGGGCCAGATGGACAGGAAATGCGAAATCTTTCCAAGGGCAGTGTCGAAGTTTCTGGAGTGACACAGCCTCATTGGTCGGACGATGAGAGCGAACTGCCACCCACAAAACGAGCGAGGGATAATGGTTACGCCAGTGATCATACTGCTATAACAGAATATGATGATATGTGGGCTCAGCATATTCCTGACACTCGTAATGTCATCTTGACTCCTCCAAGCATGGAAACTCACTCTGTCGACGTCAGAGGACCTTGTGGTATGACTCCGCTTATGGTAGCAGCAGTCAAAGGTGGTGGACTTGATACTGGTGAAGAAGAGGAAGAAGACGGAACAGCAGCTGTTATCGCTGATCTTGTCGCCCAAGGAGCGGAACTCAACGCAACCATGGATAAAACTGGAGAAACTTCATTACATCTTGCTGCAAGGTAAATTCGTTCAAATAAATAATTTCAAGCCGTCATTTAATAATTCTTTTATTTCAAAAACCCAATATAATACCCTGTTTTTGTATTTTAGGTATGCAAGGGCTGATGCTGCAAAGCGCTTGTTGGATGCAGGTGCAGATGCTAATTCACAAGACAACACTGGAAGGACACCACTTCATGCTGCAGTGGCAGCTGATGCAATGGGTGTTTTCCAGATCCTTTTGAGGAATCGGGCAACAAATTTAAATGCCAGGATGCATGATGGGACCACTCCTCTTATACTGGCTGCACGGCTGGCGATAGAAGGGATGGTAGAGGATTTAATAAATGCTGATGCAGACATCAATGCAGCGGACAACTCTGGCAAAACTGCCCTCCATTGGGCTGCTGCAGTCAATAATGTCGATGCAGTTAACATTTTACTTTCTCATGGAGCAAATAGAGATGCACAAGACGACAAGGTAATTATTTTTATTGTATGATTTTTTTAAAAAATTTATATACTGAATTTAATGTGTTTTCAGGATGAGACACCACTCTTCCTTGCAGCCAGGGAAGGCAGCTATGAAGCTTGCAAGGCCCTTCTCGACAATTTTTCAAACCGGGAGATCACCGATCATATGGACAGGCTGCCAAGAGATGTTGCAGGAGAAAGGCTACATACTGACATTGTCAGGTTGCTTGATGAGCATGTTCCAAGATCACCCCAAGTTCTTTCTGTCGTCCCTAATGGACAACTTCTTGGTAAGAAACTTTTAATATTATTATTAACTTCTAATGAGTTAAACAAAATGAAATAGGAAATGAAGTTTTTTCTGTTTTAAACATTAAAGCTTTTTACAGACCCCAAAGCAGTTTTATTTGTTTTATCATATAAATATTAGTTTCTTAATATTATACCCAGTTTACTACTATGTTTGTACAATAATTACAATCAGGCTTTATTTTAGGATCTCCAAGCCATCATTTGATGAGCCATCCAGTTATGGGAGGACCTCCAGTTGGTTCGGGCAAAGGTTCAAAAGGTAAAAAGAGGGGAAAGCCTGATCCAAACAGCCCAGAGAGTGAGGTACAAATGAGGAGGAAGCCAAGTGTGAAAAAGAAGAAAGGCGAGGAAAGTACTGGGGCTGAGGGTAATGTCTACAGCAGTCCTGGCCTTCCGCCACCGTATGACGAGTGTTTGAAAGGTGCTGTTTCTATGCAAAGCCTGCACAGCCTGAACCTAGAGCCGACTTACCAGTATCAAAGCGTCGGCGCAGCTTTCCAAGAGCCATCGCCACCGCATAGTGTCACGATGTCCCCTGGTAAAACAAGACCACAACTGCCGACATCTCCTACACATATGGCAGCCATGAGGGCAGCTACGCACCAAAAGCACGCACACACCATGCAGTTTGACTTTTCCGAGCTGCCTTACAGCATGGCGCTTTATCCTCCACAACAACAACAGCAACCGCCCCAACAACAACAGCAGCAGCAGCAGCATCAACAACAACAGCAGCAACAGCAATACTACCACTACCTCACGCCTCCGTCCGAGAGCATTCACGCTCCTGAAAGTTTTCCCACCCCATCTCCAGAATCGCCCTGGCATTGGTCATCCTCCTCACCACATTCTAATTCAGACTGGTCAGAAGGAATTTCAAGTCCTAATAACAATAAACAACAAGACGCTATTTATATTTAAAAGGTTACAGTGATAGTGTTCCGAAAATATGCCTTTTATTTTAATTGGTGTATTAGTTGTTTGTTGGACTCCTGTTTAAAAATAATGGATTTAACATGTTCAGTGCGGCAGCCCAATTTTAATCCATGGTAGGAAATATCATTTAAATAAAATCAAATTATAAGAACTTTAGAATAAACATTATAATTTAAAATATTATTTATGATTATGATTGTATAATTTGAATTGTTTTTATTTAAATCATTCTCATGATCAAAGGTTACAATTTTATCTTAAACTATTAAATTGGCAGTTATTTCAATTTAATCTAGTATTTGTTACTACAATATATCATTGTCCATTTAATTCTTCATGCATTGTCCTATTTGCAAATTTTTTGGTTTTATATTTGTTTGTTATTAAATGAATGATATTTTACAGTTATTATTTTACAATTTCTCGGGATGGGGGTTTTTGGGTCTGTTTGGGCTTCAGTCCGCACTCAACCTGTTGATGTTGCTTTTAAATATAATTTCATTGTGATAGCAGGCATAATTGAAACTTAACTTAGTTATTTAAGATGTTAAGATCTCTTTTGGATGATAATTAATATATCTCTGTTTATTAATCGAAATAAAATTCAACTTTTGGACAATATTTCAGATTGCTCAAATTTTGAAGATCGCTCTCTATTTTATTTTTATTTTTTAAATGGAGATTATCAATTGTGCCTTTTTAAAATATTTTAAATCATTATGTATACTCTTTTTTTAAAAACAAAATGTACTATTTTGAGAGAGAGAAAAACCTTGAAGGTGCTTAGATATTCTAAGTGCTTTTATTTTATAAAGTACTGCTGATGGGTGACTGTTTTATTTTTAATTTTAACAATTATTTAAAGAAAAATGAAGTCAAAATTCATTTTCAGCCATTGTAAATGATTTTATACAATGCTTCTCCTGTAAATAGTATTGCGATAAAATTTTGTACAAAGACTTTAGCAAGTAGAAAATTTCTTTTTTTATAGATTTAATAAAAAAATTGTTATGTTAATAATTTATCAATAAATTAGCAAGGACATGCACTACATGTGACATTAGAGATGTCCTTTGTCTTGTATTTTGAATTATTATGTACATTTGGAGATTTTTTCTATTAAAAATTTATATATAATAAATGGTTTCGATTTATTATAAATCACTTGAATTTGCAACCCTTTTTTGGCAATGTTTTTTCCAAATCAAGCAACTCTTCTTCACAAGCCGGAGCACTCTTTCAAGAGGAGTGAGTATTTTGAACATATTTAGTTGAATTATATTCAATTTAAAAAAAAGTTCTACACATCTAGTAGGAGGACCAAACAATTTTCCATAGCATTATTAATAATTTGGAATAAAACTAAAAATTCATGACATAATCTTTAGCTTTAACTTAATTTTAAGTAAGCATTTATTTTCGACCTTTTCAATAAGAGCTCAAGGTAATATTGTACGGTGAACACATAGAGGCACAATACTCAAAAATAGGTCTTAAAATTGACAAAAATGTTAACAGAAATAAAGAGTTAGAAAGTAGCAGAAGGAGATAAGAAAAAAAGAATGAGTGGAGAGAGAGAGGGATTAATAGCGTTTTATTTAGCTAAGCAGAATTAAGCCAGAAGATGACACTCAACACGACACCCAATTTTTAATTATAAATCACTTGAATTTGCAACCCTTTTTTGGCAATGTTTTTCCCAAATCAAGCAACTCTTCTTCACAAGCCGGAGCACTCTATCAAGAGGAGTGAGTATTTTGAACATATTTAGTTGAATGATATTCAATTTAAAAAAAAGTTCTACACATCTAGTAGGAGGACACATCTACACATAAAACAAACACTTTGAGCCATGAAGATGATCTTAATAAAGATCAAAACGCTGGCACGATAAAGAAAATGTTTTTCTAAAACCTACAACCTGTCACATCAGACCTCATCTCACGATCTCCAAATAACATTAACTAACGGTCACAAAACACCACACAAAGTAATAATAATAATATAAAATAAATATTTGAGATAAAAAATTACAATTAAAATTAAATAAAGCAAATTCTGTAAAAAAAAAGTGATGAACAAACAAGCTAATTGTAAGTAAAGTAAGTAAATGAATTTCACTTATAACATTTGGAGTAATTATTTTTGACGTTTACTTTGAATGTATTAATTTTTTTCCAGTTGTTTAATTTCTTTTGGTAATTTATTAAATGTTTAATTGCAATATTTACTTATCTTTTCTAGCATAGTATCTAACTGGCTTATTAAATTTTTGTGTGCAGATATATGGGTTGAGTTGTATAATACCTTATTGAAAACAGTTAAATTTAAGTATTCTTGTAAGTCATACATTCGTTATGTTCTCAACTTAACATATTTATCTTCCATTCTTCAATCGGTGCAAGGTCAAGAACGTAACATATTTATTAACTATTTTAAACTTATTCTATAATTGAGCTGTTATTTTGACTAGTATAAGTCCATTTTTTTATCCATTGAGATATTTAAGGGTTTGCATTTGTATTAATTTAAAAATATTAGCAAACATTAATCAATAGACACCATTTAATGTTTTTATGGAATAATAATTATTAAAATTATTTGTGTGGTGATTAGTGACTCGATATCATATCAAATTTCTTTGCAAAATAATATTTTCACTTTTTATATAATATTTTTCACCTTTATTTCTTTTGATTTCCTAATTTTTTGACCGTTATTTTCATAATGTGATCAAAAATTAGTAACGTCATCTTCATCATTTGTTGAATCAGTTAATTTCAAAATTATAATCCCCTTCTTAGTTTGTAACGATCTTGAATAAATATTGCACAATCTACTTTCCTCATCCGATTCATAAGTTCATCTTTTTTTTTTTCTTCTAATATTCATGAGTCTTATTTCTATAATAAAAAAATACAATATTTCCTTGAAAAATTTTGTTACTTACCAACATAACTATCAGATGAAACGGATATCATTTCTTTTATAGGTATGTGAACGAAAACAACAAAAATAAACAAATATAGCTATTTCTCACGACTTCATCAGAACAATAATACCATTATCCTATTAACAATGTTTCTAGGAAACAGAACTAGCTAAGTGATATTTTCTAAATTGCAATGCACAATGAAGCCGCAATAATCAACAATAATTGTAATAAGGACGTTGTTTTTATTATAATTAGTAGGAATGGACTTATTCCACTTAAAAAAAAAAAAAAACTTTTTTTAACCAAAGTTTTTTGTTTACTTTATCTATTAAAATCATATTCCAGCAAATGTATGATTATAAATATGGAGAGAAAGTGCATACTTACCATTAACTTAACTCGTTTTTTCTCTTTTTTTTTTACTTGTACCACTTTCAAAAATAACAGCTCAATTGGGCAGCAATATCAGACATCACAGATAAACAGTAATTCAGGTGTGGAATAATTAACATCTTAAATAATTAATTTATAATATTAAATAAATTTAAAGAGAGAGAGAGCGCGAGTGAGTGAGTGTGAGAGAGAAAGAAAGAGAGAGAGAGAGAGAGAGAGAGGGAGCGTAAGAGAGAGTGAGTGAGAAAGAGAGTGAATGAGAGAGAGAGAGCATGAGTGAGTGAGTGAGTGAGAAAAAGAGAGAGAGCGTGAGAGAGTGAGTGCGAGAAAGCATGAGTGAGTGAGAGAGAGAAAGAGAGAGAGCGTGGGAGAGAGAGAGATAGATAGAGGGCAAGAGCGTGAGTGAGTGAGCGAGAGAGAAAGAGAGAGAGTGAGTGAGAGAGTGAGAGAGAGAGAAAGAGAGAGAGCGTGAGAGAGAGTGAGTGAATCAGAGAGAGAGAGAGAGAGTGAGTGAGAGAGCGTGGGAGAGAGAGAGTGAGAGCGTGAGAGAGAGCATGAGTGAGAGAGAGAGAGATAGAGAGAGGGCGAGAGCGTGAGTGAGTGAGTGAGAGAGAGAGAGAGAGAAAAAGAAAGAGAGTGAGTGAGTGAGAGAAAGAGTGGGTGTTTGTGTGCCTTGAGAAAAGTTTGTACTTGATAATAAATTTAATCCACCACAACTTTTATTTCCTTCACCACTGCTGCTTCTACTGTTGCTACTAGTAGTACTACTACTTCTGTTTCTACTTCTATTACTTCCACTACTGCTACTATTTTTATTACTATACCTCAATAAAATGTTTTTTGAATAAACAGTTTATATTGAGGGTGATTTTTATATATAGCGGTATAGCGTAATTTGTTGTAATATGATAATTACAGCCGGAAAATAAATTTGTCAGACCCCGATTGTAAAGGCCAGAAGAAAAAATTCAATTGTCGATTTCCCAACTCATTATCCACAGGGCAAGGAGTTTATTTATCCCAACAAAGGGCCCTTTCTAGACGGTTTTTCATATTTTCTGCTTCCAGTTTTGAGAGAACAAGATGTTTGAAGCGGCGCTGAGGCGTTCCTTGTTTAGAGTTAAAGTTGATTAAAATTGTATCCGTGAGAGTGCCCATCCCCCGACGGGGCCCGGCTCTAATGAGAGGTGCCCTTTGTTCGCCGCCCTCGCCAATCAGGGTGAGTTTCGTTTTTATTCAAAAACATTATATACCGTCAAGAGGGCTCCATTTTGAAAACGAGGATCGTTACCGGAGAAACAGGACGTTCATTCAGGCCAAATAATGGTCGGTTGAAAGTCGGGAATCTCTTTTTAAAAGTTTTCCCAGCAAGACCCTTCCGAAGTCTTGACTTGGTGATGGTACTGGGCTGGCGCAAAATTAATGCAGGTTTTGAAAATTTGTTTTATTTTCGCAAGTGCTTGTCATGTAAACAAAGCTAAATCCTCATTACGGATTTAAATTTGGGGGAAGTTCGGCCCAAACCGCGCTTAACATCAATACAGTTTGGGGAGAGGGAAGCATTAGCGAATGCACGGTGCAGAGATGGTTTCGAAGACAGGGGAGTTCGCTGTAGGCATTCCGTTGTGGACTACAACAAATCAAAATTTTGATTGAATAAAATTCACCTAAGACAACACGGGAAATTTCAGAAGAACTTAGTGTTGACCACTCAACCGTAATTCACCATCTAGAGCCAATTGGTAAAGCAAAGAAGCTCGACAAGAGGATACCCCACGAACTAACAGAAGCCCAAAGAAATCCACGCTTTGAAATTTGCACGTCTCTTCTGTTGCACCACCGAATCATAACATACGATGACAAATAGACTGTGCACGATAGCAGGAAGCGTACAGGTCAATGGTTGGACAAAGACCAAGTGGCAAAACACTTTCTGAAACTAATCTGCGCCCAAAACAATTTCTGGTGACTGTGTATTTGTAGCTTATTCAATAATTGGTCGGTAATATCAGACATCACAGGTAAACAGTAATTAAGGTGAGGAATAATCAACGTCTTAAATAACTGCTGGGGTTGTTCATTATAATTTCCTGAATTATGGTGAAACTATCACAGCAGAGAAATATTGCCAAGAAATTGACGGGAAACTACAACGACTTTGTCCAGCATTGGTAAACCGTAAGGGGCCGATGCTTCTTCACCAGGCCACATGTCGCAAAGCCAACTCTGCGTTAACTAAAAGATATGAAACTTTACCGCACCCTCCATATTCACCCCACCTCTCGCCTAAATATTTAAATTTGCAGTAATTATTTTGGACGTTTACTTTGAATGTATTAATTTTTTCCAGTTTAATTTTTGTTAATTTATTAAATGCTTCAGAAGTTTTTGTATTTTTTTGTCCTGTTTTTTGGAATTACAATCTTTCCTTTTTCTTTTCTAGTATAATATCTAACTGGCTGATTAATTTAAAAAAAATTGCAGATATATGGGTTGAGTTGTAGTATTTAATACCTTTCTGACATAGTTCGATTTAAGTAATCTTGTAGGTCATATATTCATAATATTCTCAACTTAATATGTTAATATTTATAAAATTCACTAATTTCGTGGTCCGCCTGACCAATTAATATCTTACAATTAATTAAGGTTTTTGGTTGAGATGAAAAAGTCAATGGCACGAGCGGGATTCGAACCCACGATCTTCGGCTAGATACGCCGCTGCTCTACCACTTGAGCCATCGTAACCTCGATCCACTCGGACACTGACTTCCCATCTCAACCACACCTTTTGAATTTTCCCTCCTTTTTGC